TTTTTATGTTTACTTTTAAAAAAATTCAAGAATGAATAACAGTTAAGTGTTTTTGAAAAAAATTGTATGCTGCAAAGTTACTTGAGTGTTTTTTTGTAGGTTTTAATTCAAATAGTACTAAACATGACAGTAGTAAACAGTTTTTTTTTTGATTTATATTCAAGTGGTTAGTTTTGAAATAGAAGCGAAAAAAGAAAAAATAAATAGATTTTATTTTTGAGTACCAGTGGATCAGCATTTTATACGGTGTCCTTAAAAAATTTTTTCATACTGCATTGCTGTGTGTAGACAACTGCTCTCCTAAGTCGCTGTTTTCTGATTTTTTATATGCAGATATAATTTTGTAATATGTAGTTAATATGACAACGTTATTGTTTTGAATCTTTAGATAGGCTAAAAAGAAGCATTATTAATAATAAATTTAATAACTAACGTAACACTATTGAAAAAATATTTTTTTTGTTTTATTTTATTTCCTTGCACGAACGCTTTTTGATTGGAGTTGATCAGTTTAATCCTTTACCTCCGGCTTCAAAACAAAGTATTGCTTATTCGGTTGTTCTTGGTGGTTTTCAGTGCTCTAATCCGGAAGAAAAAATTTATGCAGATTGGGACTGTCCACAGGCTACAGTTGTTCATGCATATGCGGCAAGTCAGGAAGATGAACTGTCGCTTGAAAAGGGCGACCTGATAAATATCTTACGGAAGATGCCGGACGGTACTGATTTTCTGCGCTTTCTACTGCATGCAAATTCACTGATCATTGATTGACGCAGATTTTCTGCACTGATACGAAATCTATAAAAAGTTATGGTCATATAACACACTTTAAGTGTGATAGTTTTCCCGTAAACCTAAAGCCATTATTTATCCTGAAAAAAATAATATAAAGCTTATATGATACCTGCATTTTTTGCCACTAATTATTATAAGCTTTACTGAAAAGTTTCAAGTTTGGATGTTGATGATTATTTGGTGATATATTAACGACGATGATATGCATAAAATTTTCAGCCAGTCAGACCCTTTAACAGTGCTTTTAATAAACTAGATTGGTTGTAAACAAAAATTGTGCAACAATGATTTCTTTTGATAAGCATCAAAATTTTAAGTTTCATCAGAGATGTTGGATGATCCGATTTTGGCAGAAAAAAATTACTAACTGAAATCGTAAATGCTGAAAGACCATTACATTTACGGCTTTTGGTTTTGATGATTGAAAATAGCTCGTGTTTCTATTCCGCTTTTTTTCTCCAGACCCAGTTTTTTGCTTATTTTCCAAGCTTTGATTACAATATTCCTCCAGCAAACAAAAAATTCACTGAAACTTTCACCTTTTTGACAAAAGCATAATGAGATATTGCACTGTTCTAAGATTGTTTAATTAAGTACCCTAAACCGGGATCTGAATTAACAACTGCTGCCTATTTAGGTTGGTTTTATGGCGAACGCGTCCGTGACAGCAAAGGTGGTTGGTTCCCTTCATCGTATGTACAACAGGTAAGGATTTTGATAAGTAATCAGCCAGTATGAATATATATTGTTGGGTCTTAGAGATGCAAAAATTTAACAATATATACTGTATATTTAATTTGAGTTACAGTAAGTGATAAAAGTAGTATAATGATTTAGTATCACTGACTGTAGGTTTAAATGTAAAATTTAGGTGCTCAACGACCATGTTCGGGCCAAAAACTATCGGCAGCGGTTGCGGGTTATTCAGGTTTGTCACAGTTGAGCTTATTAACCATATACATATGTCGTACAAATTGATTTCTCTTAGTCAATGTAACTGTAGAAAAAAACTGTTTTTTTCTCCATTGTTTATTATTTGTATTGCACTTCT